ATATTTGGGAGAAACTCTCTTTTTTTTTTGAGCTTTTGAAGTCTAACAAATTCCGTTTAGTTTCAGCCAGGAACCGAAGGTTGTCAAAGGTTGTCACATTCTTTACGTAACAAAGTTAAAGCACAGATAGCTGTGAGGCAAAAAAAAAAAAAAGAAAGACAAATAAAGAAAGAAAGACTGAATGAACTGGTTTACACTAGGAAAACTAAAACAGCACAGGTTTTGAATCTACAATAATTTTTATTTTATTTTTTTTTGCCACAAATGATGCAAAGAAAATGAATATACTATTAAAAAAAACTGATCTGTGAACAGAAAATAGGTAAATTTTCCCCTCTTGCGAACTGTGTTGGTAGAGAGAACATAAAGAAATACTGACCAGGTCTAGTTTTGTTCTAAATTAAAATTTCAGACATGATGACTGAACTAAAAAAAAGCTTGGCATGAGCAGCTGAATACCAAAGCTGAGAGCTTTGGTATTTATCACAGCATGAAAATGAAAAATAGCATTAGAACCTGAAACATAATTAGCACGTGAAATATGAAATTGGACAAAGGGAGAATGGACGGGGAAACTGATCTGCTTTGTTCTTCAGCCCTCTGTCTGCATCCACATCTCTATCAGTGTTTTTCTATAAACAAACTTGGCTCCAACTGAAAAAAAATTATGCATCCCCTTTTGGCATTTAATTTATCATATTTAGTTACTTTAACACAATTGTTTTATGTCTGACCCTGCTAACATGAAAAAATTGTGTTAGAGTAACTAAGTATGATTAAGTAGATGCCAAAAGCGGATGCATTATTTTTTTCAGCAGATTCTCGGCACTCTTGATTTTTCCTCTGTTTTCCTGCTGCTTTTACATCCTGTCATTAGTAATATGTTTAGAAATAATAGGAAAGAGAAATAAAACGTAGGGACTAAAAGTAAAATAATATTGAGGTGCAGATACTGAAAAAATCTGCTTAAATACAGAAAGTAAGTATTTATTCTTGGTAACAACATATAGGCCGCATGAAGACCATTGGAAATTTTGGTTCACTAGTGAATAATTCTGCCTTTGAATATATTTGACTTTTCATATAATCACATTGTTATTAACATCCACTTTGATCTTAGGTAATCCCTACAATCCTGTTTTTAGAAAGTCTTCCTGCTGCCACACTTTTAGCAATAATGCATGACAATTTTATCTAGTTCAGTTCAGTTTTTATACATACAAATGCATCATTCTCACTAAATGTCATTTTCAGACACATTAGAAGAATACTATTATTCAAATCATATCAAGAGAAATCAGTCCAGTGCTATCATTTCATTAAGGCAGTCAAATTCAGTTTATAATGCATTTATAAACAAAGCACAGCCACTATAAACACTTTGTGGCAACCTGATCAATGTATAAATTTAGGAAGGTTTGTTTTTTCCTTTAAAACCAAAAATAAAAAAACCCCAAAAACAAACAAGTACCGGTATTTTCATTTCTTCGTTTATTGAACCAAAGTGAGAAAACGGATAACAAACAGTTATCCAAGTCCTCAGTTTTTGCACTAAACAAAAAGACAACAAGCACTCAGTTTCATTATCCGTTAATTCCATGGTTGTTTAGGGAAATAAAGCAGGAATCATATAACAAATCTTTATAGATTTCTCATTTTGGTTAAAAGGAAAAAAGCAAACAACTGAATGCATACTGACCCAAACCAGCCTGCTCAGCAAGTATGTGGCGACAGAGAAAAGAAACAACAAATTTTTAAAATGAAGAATTTTTTTTTTTACAGTGTCCTGTCTGGCAATGTGGCAATAAGAATAATTGTCTCGATGCCAAAAAGAGCCCAACAGATTTTACTTTTACAAGTGTGGCAGTATGGCAATTGCCATATTCCTCCACTTGTTTCATGCGGAGCTTTACAGTTTATATGGACACTGCAATGTAAATAGAGCAAAAAAACAGAAGAAGAAAAAGGAAAAAAGAAAAAAAGAGAAAAGATGAAAGTGTCCTGTCTGGCAATGTGGCAATCAATTTTGAATACGCTGAATTAGATACATTATTTCTATTATTTGTGATGCCTTAGGTATTTCCATGCATTTTTTTTAGATTCTTCTAAAATAAAAATACCTAACTGATGATGTGGAAGTCTCAAAAAAACAATCAAATATGATACACTGTGTGTTAAAGGATTTATTGTGTTTAACCACATAAATCTATTCTCTATATACAGAAAGCTATAGATTCCTAAATCTGCATTAAATGCTGAACTTTAACACAACATTTCTCAGTAATGAGATTTTTTTTTTTTTTTCAGGAGAACTGAGAATCTCTATTTCTGTATTTGTTTTATTGTAAGATATGATACCTTTAACCTGACAACAGCCAGATGCATGTCTCGCTCCGGAGCGAGACATGAATCTGGCTGTTGTCAGGTTATGATACCTTCTCTTAAAAGGATTTTTCTGTGGACTAAGTTTGGATTAATGAATAAATAAATATTGAGAAATTTTAAAGCACAGTTTCTCCAACCAAAGCATTTAGTGAAATATTACTTTTAAGCATTACATGATGTGTTTTAAGCTTCGTCACGGACAGCAGAACATTCTTAGGGACAATGGAAACGCTAGAACCGAGATTAGAACCAGAACTAAATGCAGATTAAAGTTCAAAATGAATCAACCATCCAGACCATCCAGATCTTCAGCATTGCCAGAGCAAAAATCTAGAAATATAGAAGCAACATTAAGATTTTATGCTGCAGGTATCTACAGCAAAATCCTAAAAAAAAAAAAAAAAAAAAAAAATATGTATATATACATATATATATCTATATATATATATATATATATATATATATATATATATATATATATATATATATATATATATATATATATATATATGTGCTGAAACCCTAAGTTATTTTACTTCAAGATTACCCCTTTGTTTAAAGTTGCCATTTTCTTTTCATCCTGTCAACATCGTTAGTTATAGCTTGTACACTCTGAAAAAAAAAAACTGCTGTCAGAATTGCACATTTTAAGGCAACAAACTGAAAAATGTTTAATTTTAGGTTTATATATTTTATTTTATATAATTTCTTTTTTTGTCCTTTCGTGAGGTTCAAGCCTCCCTTTTCAGGGATTACTGGGCTGCACACGCTACAGGAACCCAGGGAGCGGCCGTGTTTTGTTCAGGAGCACTGTGATATTTTGTGTTTCTATCCACTGACCTTTTGCAGACTCTGCAGCACATAAATACATATTCTGCTCTCCAAACAGTAAAAAGAACAACACTGAGGAGGAAAACTCCAAAGGTTGGTTTCCTGTATTTCACAAATTAAAGTACAAAAGTTTAGACTGTCTCTCGTTTCAATGCCCGAGAACCTGAGATGTAAATACTGACAAAGATTTCATCATTTTTAACTGAAATAAAGATTACAACAAACTTGTTTCTCTTTATTGAACTTTTGTCTCTAATGTCACACTAAGTTTTTTACGTTCTTAATTCTAAAATGTTTTTTGTATTTTTTTTTACTCCCTTTATCATGGTACATCAATGTCCTTTTTCTAATTTTTCCTTTAGTGTTCTTTACCTTTTGAGCAATGACATTTGATACAAATAAACTTGCTTTGCATGAAGTATTTCTGTAATTTCTCTTTTTTATTGACTGAAAGGAGCTAAAGATTAGGGTGATGGCACGGAGACCTTTCTTTAAAAATGGAGCTCTTCAGTGAAATTCCATTGGTAAAATATACCAAGGAAAGCCGACAGAGCTTTTAAGGAAGTTTGCTGTAAAAAAAAAAATGTCACATCTAAATGGCTAATGGCTTTTAACAAGAGAGGGTGTGGTTTACATTCAGCTCTCCTCTTAATTCCTGTGTAGAACCTATTTTTGTTCCTCGTTTGCCAGTAGTGCAATTCTGTTTATTTATATAGCACCAATTCACAACATGTCATCTCAAGGCACGTTACAGAAACAGTATTGTCAGATTGGTCATAAAAACCAGTTTATAGCATCAACTTGCAAGACATTATCCTGCTGGATAATCTTGCGGCAATCCCTCACACAGAGCACTGCAGCTTCTTCTCTTTAACAGGAAGAAACCTCCAGGAGAACCAGGCTCAGTGCGAGCGGCCTTCTTCCGAGGCTGACTGGTGTTCAAGAAAGCGGACATAAAAATGGTAACTTAAATAGTTCCACAGGTGGCCCCATCCAGAAAAGACATAGCCAAGCAGACGATCTCCAAGTCAATCCTGTTGGTCACTGTAATAGAAACAGAACTACACTAAAAACAGGCCAAGCTTCAATATCTATAAACATAGATGTCGGTAGCAGCAGCACAGCTGATATTTCAATCAAAGATGGAGTCACAGCGAAGAGGAACAGATCAGATGAAGCTACAATGAAGAAAGCAGTTATTGGTGGAAGTTTACAGATATTACAGAATGGGAGAAAAGAGACAGAATGAAGCAGATTGAACAGAAGTGGTCCCCATGTCCTCCAGCAGCCCAAACACAGAAAATAGCTCAGGATGTGCTATTTTGGATGAGGTATAAGAAAAGTAGAGGGAAGGAGAAACATCTGTCTGCTTAAATTTCTCCCCCGCTGGTTCAGGGCTGTTATTCCGTAAAAGTTAAAAAAATTACCACTTTTTTAACTTTTACGGAATGACTATGACCTGGATGACTGAGAACCTTCATCAGCATTCAAGCTGTTAACGCTCCAACTCTCTACTCATCGAGCGATAAAGAAAACATCAGGTTTTAACTATAAGCTTTATCAAAAAGGAACGTTTTAAAAGTAGTCGGCGTTTCCGCTTCATGGACAATTGTTTCCTGTTAGGGTAGATTTTTCAGATTATTGTTGTAATGAGGCTAAAAGTGAAAAGAATAAAAGGTATTCAGTGAGGTATACGATTCCAGGGAAGACCTGCATCAAAACAAAGCAAACTTCTGTGGAACAAGATGCTTTTAATCACAACAAAGGAAGCTTGGGGACACGCCTTTATGGGGTTATGAACCATTTTTATTTATAGAAAAAAAAATGAAAGCAGCAGCCTTTTTATTGTTTTGGGCTACAGCTATTTGCTAAACGCTGATAGACAATCTGTGACAGAAGCAGATTGGAAGGGAGATTTATTGACCGCCTCTCAGAGCAGGGTATGAATTTACTATGAAACCATACAAGGTCACAGGTTAACTGAAGCACTCCCACTATCAGTTTGACTTTTCTTTCTTTGTGGAGGAAAAAGAAGAGAATCATCAGATTTCTGCTGAAACATCAAATACAGAGAAGAACCGTTTATTTGAAATTCAAGAGTTAATCATCAGCTAATAATGAAAGCCAGGGCCTTTGCATGTTTGTACTGAGTGTTTTGCAAATGCAATCAGCTGGCAGTTCTATAAATAAGACAAAAAAAAGGAGATATACTCCAAAAAAGAGTTTTGATTAACAGAAATAAAAATATTGGTTCCTTATTTGGACCTAGATGGATTTATAAAAAGTTTCCAATGTGCACATTTGACTTGGCTCATGGGCTGAAAGCAGGACTCATAACTGGAATTTAAACGATCTTTCATCAGACCCAATGCACTTAGTGGTTTGTTCAGTAAATAGAACAATGCAGATTTATTTACACATTAGCTGAGGCCAATGATAAGTGTCCCACTTCTAAGAAATAAATCATGAATTAGACAAAGCAGATGTGATGTAACAGGTTCTATCTTAACCCAGTTTGTTTCAATATTTGTGATGCTTTGAATAAATTTCTCTGGAAAGACTCATTACTGTGTAACTTCTAATTTATCTTTTTGAATATTTGGAAATCGCTAATATTTCACTAATTTGGATGACAAAAAGCAAATATAAGGATGTAATAATCAAAATATTTGCAATTTTTCTGAATTACATAAGCTGTTGGAAAAGTAGGCCAAAGTCATTTGTAGCTCCTCCTCCTTAAGAGGCGAGCTGGCAGGTTGGATGCGATGACGTGAAATGAATCTTGGCAAGGAAAGCAAAGAAAACCTGATTGAGGTATGAGAAAGCAGTTCAGAGCCAACTTTAAATGATACCCTGTGGGGCACTGAGCTGGAATTACATGTAAGACAGAGCCAACTCATTTTCTGTGGAACATGGAGGACGGGTATGGGAATTAAAGATGAATTACAGGTTTTATATAGGATTTCAATAACAGACTTCTTCTATCAATTCATTAGGACAGGAGCTCAGTTTTCTTATTTAAAAGCTAGTGGGCAAAAAAGATCTTTGTCTGCACTTCTTTATAACCCATGAGCCAAGGTTGTTCCCAGGAGGTTTATAAACCACTGAAACACAAAGTGGATCAGAACCTTTTTTTTTTTTTATATAAAAACCGCTCCCAAACTCCTGCTCTCAGTCCAGCCGCAGGACGGGAGCTTCGAGTTTCTTTCTGCTGAGGTCCACGGTGGCAGAAGTAGCTGTGGAGGGATCTAACCGCGGACTGAGCGTCCCTCCTCCAGGTGTCCACGGTGTAAAGTCTGAGTCTTTTGGAGGAAGCAGAGCGCCTCCTCTCACTCCTGAGCTATGCTCCTCAGAACGTACTTCACTGTGTAGGCGAACGCAGCAAAGCCTACGATCACAAACAGGTTGGCCAAAGCTCCTCCCAGAAGTCCATGGTTGCGATTGCCCTGCTGCAGGCCTGGGGCCGGGTTGGCGCCCCCTGCAGGGACCGGTCCTCCATTGAGGACTGGGAGGCCGTAATGGGCTTGTTGAGGGTCTCCATCAGGCACCACATCCGGTAAGGGGAGGGGCTGTGTGCGGGCGCTCAACTCTTCTTGGACCTTCTGTTTCTGCTTCATTTCCTACATGAGAAATATAAGATATTCATAAATAAAAAAAAAAACAGAAAATTTCTACCAAAGCAGAAAAAAAATAAAAAAAACAAAACTGTCTAATCCGTACTTCTACTACATCAGGGAAGAGCTCGCAGAACACTTTGTCTTTGAGGTTAAACGCCAGGCTTTGGGCTGACAGCTGTCTTTTCTGGAAAAAAGTAAAGAAAAGTATTTAAAAAAAAATTCAAAAGCTGCATGAAGCACATAGACCGTTGTTTAATGCATTTGATTTTTTTCCCACTCACCGTGTAGTCTGACGTCTCAATGCTGCCCAGTGTTGGTCCTTTCTCCACCATGAAGCTGAGCAGACCTGTAAGGATGGTGCTGACGGACCACGCTGGGTTCCACGTATCTGGATGGAAGTCTGTGATGGACAAACATAACCTGCACAAGGAGAGGAAAAAATTACCCAAAGCATCTTCAACAAACAACTCAATAGATTTTTATTACTTTTTAGAAGAATACTCCCCCCTACCTTGTGTTACACTTGAACCTTCCGTTTGGTGTTATCATATAAATACTAGGAGGTTTAAAGGGAAACTCCCGAGGAAATATGAGCTTTCCGTGGTAATATCCTCCTGAAAACACGGAGTCATCAGCATTAAACACAAGTTGTGAAAAACAAATAATTAGGTGTGAGTCAGGCAGATGCAACCAAACATCACACGTCAAGCTGTTAATTTGTAGTTTCAAAAGCGTGCATTACCTTCATATGGGGTTTTCTCAGGACCTCGGACTACATAGTGCCTAAAGAGGATAAAAAAAAAAATTATTAAAATCCCGACTTTTAGCAGTCAAAGCATTATGTAAATTTCAGGGTTTTTTTTTTATTCTAACAGTAGGGTGGAATGAAACAACCAATTTTAAAACCTTTGTCTTACATTTAGAAGTATAAATTACAATAGGTTTCAACATTATCCTATGGTGTTTCAAATTTATTGGAGCTCTATCAACCTTTTTTTTTTTTATCTTCCACTCAGTTTCCTGCTTGGCTTTTTGAAGCATGCTACCTGTTCTGGTTTATCCTCATGGAAGCTGTTAATAGCGTCTGTCAACCAAAGTCAGCAGTCAGCCAGGCAAACGTTCAAACACTCAGTCTGCCCTTTAGTCTATCCTAACTGACATATGAGCTTTTGGGGATACAAATATACCAGAAACATTTGTTTTAGGGTAAAAAAAACGAACATTTTATATCTAAGCTCATGTTTTATAACAGAATAAAATTATTCTAACATTTACATGAAGAGAATTAAAACATTTTCGAGAAATAAAATTTACACGTTTATGATTGAAAGCGAAAGCTTATTAAGCTGCCCAATGGCGCAAAGCCATTTCATAATTAGCTGAATAAATTCTGTGCAAATATAATATGAAAGATAAACAAAGAAAGACTTTTAGTAATGACTTTTTACTATGTTAATAGTTAAAGACATCCCCATTTTACTAGTCTATTGCACTGGAAAAAACTATCTAGAAATGAGTAAAAATTTCTTAAATTACATGCATTTGCCTTAATTTGAGTAGCTAAATGAGATACTTTGCCAATGGAATTAGTGTTTTTACTCTTAAAATAAGATAATATGCACACGAAATAAGAAAATGCAATTGTGTTTTCTTATTTTAAGTATAAACTGTCTTGTTCCATTGGCAAAATGTATCTTTTACCTCCGCACTTATTAAGAAAAAATGACTTATCTAGATTTCGATTTTTTCCAGTGTGTCTATTGGTGGGATCGCAGAGCTAAAGCTGCAGGTCCCAGTCCTCTGTCTCAGGCTAGATTCACCACTTTAACATCTAAAATTCTGCAAATGTAGGTATTTTATAATAATCAGATCTGCAGATAAACAGAATCTTTCATATGAATTTAGCTGTAAGCCACAATAATATAACTGAACAGATATAAATGCTTAATTTACTTTAATACAAATCCTAAAAATCATCCTGTTTAATAAACTACAACATTAACAACATTAAGTTTCTCAATAAAAGCAAATTAATTCTCTAAGTGCAACACATGATGCGATTTAACTGAACTGTAAAGCTGGTTTTATATGGAAGCAAAGTTTATAGAGAGGGAACAGCAGAAATCCACCATTTCAAACCACTAAATATGTGTAAAAACTTGACACGTGTATATATTACACGTCAGCAGCTGCGTCCTGGCATTTACGGTTCATTTTTCTTTAACTTTAATATTCCATGGAACACAGGCTGTGGACATATCAATACATCATACAAAAAAAGCAACAAATCCACGTGCCAGAATAAAAGTAAAGCCTCTCACAGTTAAACCGTGACCACGAAACCGTGAACCGAACCGTGGATTTTGTGAACTGTTCCACCCCTAGTCTTTACACATTACCTAGCCCTCATTTATACCCAATTATCTCAGTGATCTACATTTTGCTTTAAAAGGATATACCCATAAATGGTACCCCCCCACACCCAAAAAAAAAGAATAAAAAAAACACAGAAATTCAAAGTTTTGTATTCAATTATCTCTTATTTTATATGTATAGATCCAAACACGAACAACCATAAACTCATCAAAACACCACGTTGCTGTAATCCTGTTTTACCTAATCCTTACCAGTCAGGTTAGGATGCATCCTACCAAGGAACCAGGAAGGTGCAAATAATGGCACTGGTGCATATTAGCTTAGTGAATTACAATGTTGTTCCTGAAGGTTACATCCTTCCTTCTCATCATAAATCTGTTAACAAAAAGGTTCTGAAGATTCGTCAGAGAAAAAATAAATAACAGTTCAGACAGTGACTCTGAAACCTCTTATTTTCAGCAGTCGCTCGCCGTAACAAATTACTTTACTATGGATGCCAACAGGAAGACGTTTTTCCCCAAAGCAAACAAAATTAAAACATTCTGACTAACAGAGAAAACAGCAGTCATCTCCTTTTTGTTGCTTCCTGGGTGAAAAAGTCAGGCGGTCATTTACACAGAGTCTAACTAGATAAAGGGGGATGCAGCCTGTGGCTCCAGGGCTGAGTGTGGCCCTCTGGAACCTCCATAGGGACTCAAACTACTTTGGCTAGAAATTATAAAAATTATAAAAAATTTTATGTGTTAAAGTAAACAAAATAAATATATAAAATTCCTTTCTTCCTTTGTAATGAAATCTTTGGTTTTCTGTTTGAAATCTTAAAGAAGCATTAGAAGGGTGGTTCTTTAATCTGACCAAAAAGAAAAGCAGAGCTTGATTAAAATGTATATTAAGGGTAATCCAGGTTTGGTTTATTCAAAAACGGTTTAAAGTGTAAAGATTGCTAACTCATTATTCTGACTAAACCAGTGTTTAAGCAAAACCTTAAAATTGGCTACGTAATAGAAAGAAAAAAAGAAATGGGCATAAAAATAATAATAGAAAAACGAGAATCTTAAAAAATGAAACATTCAGACATTTTTCACACTATAGCATTAACAGACACAGAGGTTAAAAACAGGAATTCATCACCTCAAACATACCAACTCTACCATCTAGATCAGAGTTGCATGCGGCCTTTTAACAAAACAGCTTTTTTTTTTTTATGAACTATGTTTGTTCTCTACTCCCAAACTCAACATCTCTTCATCAATTCCTGCAATAAGAAGTTTCTTTTGACTGGATCTGATGAAACTTTAAAGCCCCTCAGTATAAAATAAATATTTTGATGGAGATGAGAAATCTGCTTTCTGGTATGTTGAAGAACAAATAGTTTGCATCCAATCTATTTAATAAACTGTGTTAGTTTTTTTATATATATATATAAGAATTATGCTCTAATTTGTAGTAACCGATCTGTCGTTACTATATTTTAATTTGACAAACCGGATCTTCTCTATGTTCTTTTTCCTGTTTGATGCAATTGCAGATCTTGACCTGGCCAGACCAGACCAGAGCAAAAAATAGCAGATGTAGAACAGCTCTCATTGATTAACATGACAGAGAAATACTCCACACGACATACATGAGCGAAGTTCTGACGGAGTATGTGGAATCTGGGAGTTAGAGCCCTCAGGAGGCTTATATAAGCCTTTTAAATGTTTGCGGCACCAGACAGACCTGTTTTTTTATCCCAGTTTGGCTCTTTGCAGATTTTGGGTTGCATATCCCTGCTCTGGCTGAACAGGAATAAAGCTACTAGCAAACAGCCACAGTGACTCAGACTGAGAACCCGACCTGATAGAGAAACTAGATTTTATTTAAGCTCACCATGTTGACTTGGTCCCAGAATGATTAACGTAGTATCTGTTTACCACTTCCTTAGACGTCTGTCAGACATCTGATAGCTCTATAAACCTTCATTTATAATAAAAAAACACATACTTTTACACCCCAGTTTGTATAAGGACCGATCTCGTGCCAACAGCTGTTTACATTACATTCTTAGGTTCATTCAAAGGTGGATCATTAAAAGTTACTGTGACCAAAGTCTGAAAACACACCAAGAGCCCTTAATATAGTTAGAACAACAACCAGTTTCTTCTGAGGAAATGTAATAAAAAAAAAATTTATAATTAACCAACATGAACCATTAGACCAGTTACTGGATTCCACCTGATAAAATCCAGTTATGTGTTTTTCCAGTTTAAGCCATTTCTGTTTTTCCTAACGTTAAAGCAGTGAGAGAAAATATGCTTCTGTTAGAGGTTTGTTAGCTGTGCACATTAAAATGAATACGGTTTTATGTCTGAAAACCTGTCAAATCCAGATAATAATCCTGATTTTTGGAGCAACTATGAAACATTTCACCTCTAAAATACTTATTCATGACAAAATAACAGCAGATTTTACAGGAAAAAGCTAAAAAAAATCTCATATAAGACATAAAAACATCCATAATTTGTATATATCTTTGTAGTTAATATGCATCATGTATAAAAATATGTTCAACTAAATATTTAAAATCTGTATAGCCATTAGGGCTGGGCGATAATTCAATAACGGTATATATCGATCGATAGACGTGTGGCGCAATAGAAAAAAAGAGGGTCGATAAAAGTTCGATAAAAAAGAAACGCAGTTTTCCTTCCTTCTCATTGTAGCCTAGCATGTAGGTTTATGCTAGTCACTGCTTCCTCCCAACCAATCACAATCGCGGACCCAGGCATGTCGTCACCAAGCGCCGCCCTCTCAAACCACAACACAGAGCACATGAAGATGCAGCAAGGAGAGGCGGAGGAAACTGTTTCAAAAAAAGGGTTTTTGTAGTTCGGCAGTCTGGCAGTATTTCGGTGATGGCAAGTCGGACCAAAAACAAACCACAGTCATCTGGAAAATGTGTCGGGAACCAGTGAAAACGAAGTCTGATAACGCAACCAACTTTTTTTTTTTATCGTCTCTCTCAGCCGCTCACACCCGCAGGAGTACGAGCTGTGTAGGCCCCGACGCGGCTCTCCTCCGAGGAATCTTCGGAAAATATATATATATTTTCAGTTCTGGGCAGTTTCCCACGTAGTTCTAACAATTGAGAGAAAAATGCTGAGGGGCCAGAAACTTCAAAGTAATAACTCAGGTTAAAGCAGGAAACGAGGGCGGCGGCGGCGATGGGGGGGCATTTATTTATTTGTTATATTTATTTTGGTCACTTTAGTTTATTCTTTGTCAGTATTTAATAACATAACTCAGGTCTCTTAAGTTATTTTTCTTTAAAACAATTCTGTTATGGTTAAAAAAGTTGGTTAAATAAAGATTTAATTCGAAGTCTGTGTTTGGTTTTTTATTACAATTAAATCATTTAGCAATATTATAAAAGTCAAGGCAGAGCTGCACATAAAATATGGTTTCAAATCTTTTCAATAATTATCGATATCGATCAATATGCATTTTTTTTTAATCGATAAGCTTTTTTTCTATATCGCCCAGCCCTAATAGCCATCATTATCTTTTGTTTAATTTGATTAAAGTGGAAAATGTTTTTTATTGGGAAGACATTGGTTCTACCTGATCTGTGGAGGTCTGTGAACAGAAGTCTTACCATTCTAAGATGTTGGAGGGGAGAGGCTCTGCACAGATGTAAGGCACTGGGTCTTTCTTTATCCTGAGGTAATCCTGCTTAAGTCGCTGAGTGGCTGTCGTTGGAGCTCTCTTGTTCCCGGTGTTGTTCATCTGAGATCAGGACATAAATCATAATAAATACATATTTGTATTTTATACTCACACAGTTAAATATGTCCAACAAGTTGAAAAAAAAAAAAGCCTGGTGCTTAAATTTGGGTAAGCACCATTACTATTCCGCAAGTTGTTTCAACTTCACATATGAAATTAGAAAGTAAAAAAAATGTTCAGAATTTGGAACAATATGCTTTTAAATTGTCAGAAAGAGCTCCAAAAATAATAGGCAATAAACCGGACAGAGTGCAAAATATTACTACAACAAAAACATCAAAAATGTACAAGCTAGGAGCCTCCAACACCAGGCCAGCCACCACTACAAGAACAAGCCCCAGCCTCCAGGCCAGGCCCCAGCCTCCACTATCAGGTAACACCATACTACCTTGAAAAATGGGTCCCAAACAGCAAAGAAACACTGAGGAGGATTGGGTATCACTCACTCAGGTAAATGACCTGCTGAATCACCAGAAGGACATGTTTACAGCTTTATTACAGCAACAGCAGGACATTTTCAAAGACTTTGTTAAAGTTATAATGGATTCAACAAATTCAAGGATGGACATGATTACAAAAGAAATTCAGGAGTTGAAATTAAGTATACAATTCACACAGAAAGATGTGGATGAGCTAAAGATCACTCAGGCAAAACAGTCTGATCATGGTAATTCAATCCAGACAGACATAATCAAGATATGTGAAAGCTTACAGGTAATTGTGGATAAACAAGAGTACCTGGAAGGTTTATCGAGAAGAAATAATGTGGTCATTGATGGGATACCTGAGACCCCGGGTGAATCTTGGGTAGAATCAGAGGAAAAAGTTAAAGAAATTCTAAAGCAGAAGTTGCAACTACAAAGGGAGATTGATATTGAACGAGCATACCGTATAGGAAAACCTGAACCAGATAGGGAAAGACCTAGATCCATTGTGGTAAAGTTTTTGCACTTCAAAGACAAAACTGCAGTAATGCAGAGAGCAAAAAATCTGAAAGGTACTAGAATATTCATCAATGAGGACTACACAGATGCTGTAAGGTTAAAAAGAAAGGAACTCATGCCGAAACTGAAAGCTGCACGTGAGAAGGGTGAAATAGCTTACCTCAGACACGACAAACTGATAATCCGACCTCGTACCAGCACCCCAAGATAGGATAAATAAACGGAAATATGCTTACAGGACTGCTTCTTAAAATATATGGCAATGACATCCCAACACAAGCGACTAAAAAGTGGACTAACTATTGCACATATAAATATAAACAGTCTAAGAAACAAAACAAATGATATAGCTGAATTGTTAGAAGAACATAAGCTAAAGATACTTGCTATTTCTGAGACTCATTTAGACTCCTCCTTTGAAGATAGTGAATTACATATAAAGGGTTACAACATTTATAGAAACGATAGAAATAAATATGGTGGTAGAGTAGCTTTTTACATTCAAGATCATTTACCTGTAAAAATGTGTACTGACATGATGAAATATAATATTGAAATATTATGGTTACAAGTTTATTTTCCTCACAGAAAGCCTATACTAGTAGGCTGCTGTTACAGACCTCCAAGTTCTAACAATGAATATCTTGACACAATCTGTGAAATGTTAGCTAATATGAATGTGAGTCTGGATGTCTATTTACTTGGAGATTTTAACATTGACTGGTTTGCTCATAACTGTCCACTGAAGAATAAGATACAAATTGGAGCTAATGCAGGTGGATTTGATCAAATTATGAATAAGCCAACAAGAATATGTGTAAAACAAGATGGTACTAAAACAGCTACATGTATTGATCACATTTTTACAAACTCTCCAGAAACAGTTAACAAGATATCATCGGTCCCAATTGGAAGCAGTGACCATAATCTGATTATAGTAGAAAAAAACAATAAGGTAGATAGGCAAGGACCTACAATAATTTTTAAGAGATCATATGCATCTTTCAATCCTTATTCTTTTGTTGACAATGTGAGAGAAATATGTTGGTCTAAAGTGTTGACTGAAAGAAATCCTGAGCTTGCACTGTCAAAGTTTGATGATTTATTTCTACCTGTGATTGAGAAACATGCACCTTTGAGAAGGTTTACCGTCAGAACATCGAAAACACCCTGGCTGGACAAAGAAATGAAAGAAGCTATGAAAATGAGAGAACAAATGAAAAAAACTGCAATTATAACTGGGAATAAGGAAGACTGGTGCCTCTATAGGAAAACAAGAAACGCTGTGACCAAGCTAAATAAAAAGAAAAAAAAGAATTATTATGAAGATAGAGTAAAGAAGGCGGGGAATGATTGCAAAAAAATGTGGAAGATAGTTAATGATTTGACAGGTAGGAAAAATAGAACGCATCCATTATTCCTTGAGACAAATGATGGCTTCATAACTGGATCTAGAGAAATTGCTAATTATTTAAATAATTATTTCATTAGTAAAATAGCAAAACTAAGAGAAAATATGCCTAACCTAAGTAATGAAATATCTCACTTATTAATAAGAAATGAAATAATGAAAGGGAAAAGGTCCAAGTTTAAATTAGAAATGGTTAACTTGCAGAGGGTAAAGGATTGCCTGAAAAAGTGCAAAGATAAACCACCGGGTGTTGATGAACTGGATGTCAGACTTCTCAAATTGGTTGCTGATGAAATCGCTCCTGTAATTACTCACATTATTAATTTAAGTTTTATGTCTTCAGTGTGTCCACAAGCCTGGAAAACAGCCAAAATAATCCCATTACAGAAAAATAAGAAACTGCCCTTTTCCAGCTCAAATAGTCGTCCGATAAGTCTACTACCTGTGTTAGGAAAAATAACAGAGACCATAGTATATGAACAAATTAATAATTATCTGTCGATTAATAACATAATTTGTCACTCTCAACATGCTTATAGAAAGGCTCATTCTACAGCAACAGCACTAATTAGTATGTCTGATGACTGGCTTAGGAGTATTGAAATGAAAGATATGGTGGGAGTTGTGTCTCTAGATTTTTCAGCTGCTTTTGATTTAATTGACCACGATCTGCTATTAGAAAAACTTTCCTGCTATGGTTTTGAACAATCTGCACTTACTTGGTTTTACAGTTATTTAACTAACCGGTCACAAACGGTATATTTTAATGGTGCATTTTCTGAAAAACAAACTGTAACATGTGGTGTACCTCAAGGGAGCTGCCTGGGTCCTTTATTATTTTCAATATTTACTAATGACTTACCATACATACTCAAAAGAACTAAAATAATTATGTATGCAGATGATTCCACTATATATACATCAGCAAGAACAAATAATGAATTAGAAATTATTATGAATAACGAACTAGTGGGAGTGGATAAATGGGTGAAAGCAAATAAGCTGGTATTGAATACAGCAAAAACTAACAGCATGATTGTGAGGTCAAATTACAACGTAAACAGTAATCATATATTGAATATTAATATCAATAACGTCTCGATAAGGAATGTGCATGAGTCCAAGCTTCTGGGAGTGACGGTGGATAACACGTTATTATGGAGAAAACATATTAATAACATGATTGCAAAGATGGGTAGAGGAATCACAGTCATAAGAAGACATGCAACCTTTATGTCCCCACATATTCTTAAAATGATAATCCAATCATTGATTTTTTCTCATATGGATTACTGCCCAGTCGTCTGGTCAAATGCCCCAGGAGAGATGCTAAATAAACTACAACATGTACAAAATAGAGCTGCCCGAATAATATTGAAGTGTGATTTAAGGACAAATATCATAACAATGCATAAAAAATTAAACTGGTTGTTGGTTAAAGACAGACTTTCATACTCATTGACTGTTATGATTAGAAACATATCTGTATTAAAAACACCTTATATGTTATTTACAAACCTTACTTTTAGTTCAGAAAATCACGAATACAGGACTAGGCATGCGACTGAAGGAAACTTTAGTTTGCCTAAAGTAAAGTCAAATGCCCTAAAAAGAACTGTTATGTATAGAGGTATGAAAGCATGGAATTTACTGCCGAATTACATTAAACTGATAACTGATTTAAGGAAATTTAAAAAATCATTGAAAGAACATTTATTAAATATAGAGGTAAAACATGATTAGGACTGTCTTCTTCACTTGCTGTGCTTTGTAGTTTGTTTTGATTAGTTTGGATTGTTTCTGTTTATGTATATGGGTATATATGTATATGTATATATGTATCTGTATATGTGTGTATGTATATATGTATATGTATAGATTATGGGAAATGTTGTTTTAATGTCCACATAATTTTATTTCATTTGTAATTTTTTTTTATTTCATGTTTTGTTGTTGGACCCCAGGAAGAATAGCTGTAGCTTGCTACAGCTAATGGGGATCCTAAATAAACTAAACTAAACTACCCCATGTCCAGATTTAATTTAAACAAAGCAAAACACAAACAGGGTGTCATCTAGAGAGGGAAAATTTGTCCCGCCTCAATTCCTGAAATAGCTAACTGCATGAACAGATGGATCGGATCCAGCAGAGATTATGTTGTATAACACCATGAAGTCAGACAGGTAATCCAAGTTTAATCTCAAACTGTGTGCTTCACAGCACAGAGTGCAAAATATTACTACAACAAAAACATCAAAAAAATTAACAACATGTGAGCCATTTAACAGCTTTTTTATCGCCCTCTAAAGTTATAACTCTATAGATATGACCACTTGTCAGTTTGACTGAGTTCGGAAGCCAATATTGAACTACTTCAGAACTTGATTTACACTTTTACTTTAAAATAGAGTAGTAATTATATTTTTAGTTTCTGTAATACATTTTACAAAATCTAGAAATGACCTTTTCTTAAAGAAAAACCATCCTTTCTAGATAAAATCAAGGCCTAGTTGCCTCCATCAAAATAGAGCTGGGTAAATTATTTTATTTGCAATATAATTACAAGGTTAAAAAAAAGGACTTCCAATGCAAATTTGAAAACTCCAAATAATGAGAAGCATTCAATTTTAGTCGCACTGCATTTA